AGGATCTAGGCCCAAAACGTCAGCCTTCCTGCTCCTCTGATGCTGCTGGCCTGCTGTGTTCATCCAGCTCTACATCTTGTTATCTCAGATTCTCCAGCATCTGCAGTTCCCGCTATCCCGCACATACTGGATCAAATCTGCTTTTGGCTAAAGCAAAGTTTTATGGTTCTTTTCAGATCTGATATAGTGTTTTTCACAAGGTTTGTGAAGTTATTCAGTATTTGCATAATATTAAAAAGGAAACCATTGTCCAAAAAGAAGACTAATGCTAATCTGTGATAGTGTTACCTGGACAAGGTAATGTCCACAAATTCCACTAAGGCTTCTCTTTATATTGATACAAGGACATTACAAACTCATCTGATTGAATAATCATATTAATCTATGAGTAGCTGATCCAGGAAGATCCCATATCCTCAAGATATTGATTTGAATTTATTATTTTTTATTTGTTATTAATTTATTTAACTTAAGTTATTAATTTATTGAATTCAATAAGTATCTGGAATTAAGAGTCTAATAATGACCGTGAATCCATTGCCAATTGTTGGAAAAACCCATCTGGTTCACTAATGACCTTTAGGGAAGGAAACTGCCATCCTTACCTGGTCTGGCCTACATGTGACTCCAGACCCACAGCAATGTGGTTGACTCTTAACTGCCCTCTGGGCAACTAGGGATGGGCAATAAATGCTGTAGAGCCAGCAATGCCCTCGTCCCATGAATGAATAAAATAAAAGTTTCTACTCAGTTGATTGGTTTCCACTGGTCTCTGACTGGAGTTCAACTCAATTAGTCTCAGTGGCCCAAGTTAAGAAGTGGAAAGAAATGGAAATTCCCTCCTGGAATTGCATATGACTGACATCCTGGGATGCAAGTAATGACCTGCTGGCACTCATTAATAGTGATCTTCCATAGTTCAAGCACTTGGCTTCAGCACCAGAAAATGGTAAATTCCTTTGGAAAAAAGCCACCCACTAAGGAGTCAACACACTTTGAATTGGAGAACAAAGGAGGAGATGAGAAAAAGGAAAATACCATATTTCTCATTCAAGGCATTATCTAGCATTGGTACACAATTACCACATCATTCTTAGAAAAATCAATGAAATGGTTCTAACAAAATATTGTTGACTTAGAAATGTTCATATCATTATTAACGTACTTTAAACTCCTGAAATAGTGTATAACCAGCCCCAGTTCCTTTCTCTTTGCTAACAGTGAAACCATGTAATGAAGTGATAAGGCAGTGGGAGTGACTTTGGGGACAAAAAATAGGTAGTGTCACATTTAACTCCCATAGCATGTCTCATCTGATATTCTGTTCCACGGACTTCAGCATTCTGGAACCATTTTGTGTCCCCTCAAGTCAAATCTCTCCTCCAAATTCTTCACAGCATCCATTCAACTGTGACCATAAACTGCCGCCATGCATCATTGCACAAACAACAGTGGCAATAATCTTGAATTTGTCAATTTTAAATAAATTGTTCTATGTTGAACAAGAAATTTCTATAAGTAAAACAAGCCCACAGTTTGAAGCTTAACAATTAAAATTAACTGTGTTATGGACCAGACCAAATCCTCTTCAAATATATCAAGAAGATAGCCTGGCCCCTAACTTTATCTTATTTAAAGGCCAGTGCAAGGTGCTGTAACTGGATTGGTTACACTACTTGGCTTTAAGCAAAACACACTTTATTCTTAATCTACAGTTAAAATACAAACAATAGGAAGAAGAATTGGTCTACCTTTAACTCTATTGGAAAACTTAACAGAATAATAGATTTTTTAAACTACTAAACAGCAACTGTTCCAATACAGTAATATTCCATAAACACACTCTTGGCAAAGGCAAATTCAATGGGATAGATTGTCTCATATGCAATATTTCTCCAGTCCAGCATGAAAGAACACCAAGAGAAAATTCTGGCAGAGAGAGAGAGAACTCATGCATTTTGCTGCAGAATGGAGAGATGTATGGCCATTTCAAAATCCCAACAACTGCTGAAACCCAAACTAAAACCCTGGTTCTGTGGCAGTCTGACTCCACCCATTCACACTGCTTCTATTATTCCAACTTCAAAACTAAACCAATACCTCACAAGCTGTTTATTTTATTGGCTTGGAACAGACCACTCAACGCCTCTGTCTCAACTGCTAAAAAAAATCAGGAGAAAATACACCTCTCAAAGCCACAGTATCATCAAAGCTGCATGAATTCCAGAAATTAATTTTATGATGTAGGAGTTGTATAATTAGTTCGCAGACATCAAATCATCTACATTAAATAAGGTCACGTACTTAGTCTTGTCCCATATACAAGGTATAATTAAGCATGCAATTCAGCAGTTAATCTTCATTCACTTAGTTATCATTAAAATATATCTCACCTCTAAAGCCTCTCTTCGTTTCTGTGTGAGTGTTCCAAAATTGTCCCACTGATCACAGATTTTCTGGCACCTTGCATTTACTTCAGCAGCATTGTGATAATCCAACTCACTTCAAAACAAAGTCAACAAAATTGTTGAATTGTTATTTTTCATTTTTAGGATTAATGAATTTATAACAAAGCAACTAGCTCTAAATCTAGTGCCTTAAGATTGCATTGAAAACAGCTAAATATTTGTAGCAATACATTTATATTTAGAATGCACCGCCAATTACTACTACTTTATAGCCATTTAAACTGTTGGTTCTCATCACTTTCTTCGTCCTGCAAATATTTTAGATATACCCTACTTAAAAGAAACCTCATTGATCTTAAAGTCAGTTTCTTTACAAACATCTTAAATAAATTAGGATTGCAGATTTTAAAGTGCTTCATCATAGTGAAAATGCATGAATTTTAATTTGTGATTTCTCAGGTAAAGAGCCTGATGCTGACTGAAGTCAGAAAGAAGACAGGTCCAATTGTAGCCCATTCATTTCCAAATCCTGCTCAATCATTCAATTAGAAAATTGTCTTTTGTCACAAAAAACAAAAATTGATAAGCAGAAAAAAGGTTGATACCATCTTGAAACTACAATGAAGTTACATTTAAACTTATTATCTGATGGTGTACTCTTGGCTACTGCGATAATTGAGGTGCATAATTCATACATTGTGGTACACCTATATTATAACGATGTCAGCTATGAATGAAACTGGAAAGACAACATTTTGTCAAAGCTTTCTGTCTTGCATTCATCAGAACATTTGCAAGAATACAGACATAAATGAAAACAATAGTTTTGTACCGTATGAGAAGAGCATGTTGATTGGTTGGCAAGTGGACTTTGATTGTTGCTATGGAAAATGCAATTAGATGATGACTGGCGGTTAACTGCCAAGCTGTGTTTAAATTTAATATGAGATGGTTATCAAGTGTCATTGTAGGGTCCTCTTTTGGGCAGTGGCTCCTGCTGTCATATTGCTGAACAACTAATTGTCATGGTGGTATAAACTGGTTCACAGGTAGAGTCACCATTTCCCTCATTGTTCCTTAGAATCTCACATGTGTAAATCTACGTTCAGGTCCTTTATGTCACGTTTACAAGCATCCTTCATGTGGAGCTTTGGATGCTCGACTGGCTTTCTGTTTCTGGCTTCTTCCCATACAGAATATACTTGGCAATGCATAAGTATTCCAACCAGCAAACAGGAGTCTGCTTGACGTGCACAAGATAAATGGGACATATACTTTTGAGAGGCATTCATGACTAATGCCTTCCAATGGAAGGAATAGAGTAACATAAACACTGAACAATCAAATCATTAACATTAAGAAAGCCTACTAATCGGTCAAATAATTCAGTGCATCATGGACAAAAGTTTAAAAAACAACTTTTGTGGAAATCAGTTTTTCCTGTCCCTGCAAAATTTTATATTTGAGGCATTTAAAAATTTTCTTGGAGCTGTTAGGTATGACCTTCATTGCCACACTTGGTACCCTCTTTGTTTTCAGCAGTATGTCTTATTAAATTTTTATTTCTTTTCACAAGACCAATTACCTTTCACACATATTACATTTTAGTTCTTACATCTTCACAGCAATCATAAACTGACAGATGGTACATTAACAAAATTAAGCATTCTAAATTTCAACATCCCAGGAAACATTAAGCATTACATCCTATTTTTCAGGCTTTGTAGCAACTTCAGCCCTTAAATCCTTCATGGTTATCATATATGAAAGTGTGCCTGCTCATGTAACATGAAGGGGAATATCAAGGGAAAAAAAAAGTATCTTTCTTCGTTATTTCATGGGATTTGGGCATTGTTGGAAAGGCCAATGCTTGTTGCCCATCCCTAATTTTCCATGAGAAGGTGGTGAGAGCTGCCATCTTGAACTGCTGTAAGTTGCTGAATGTAGGCAGACTCTCAGGGCTACTAAAAAGGGAATGCCAGAGATCTTGAACCAGTGTCAGTGAAGGTCGGGTAATAGAGTTCCAAGTCAGGATGGTGTGCAACTTGGAGGGGAACTTGCAGCTGATGATGTAGGATGAACAGAAGTTGACCTTAATCTCCTATTTACTTCCTATGGTTTAACTATCAAATTAGTCTGTGGCACTATTGATACAAGTATGTAAGCATCATGAACAGGCATTTGCTGTTGAGCAAGAGATAGATCATTCTACAGTTCATATGTTTTGCTCCTGACCACATTTGAAACAAGGATGAGGAAAGATGCTCAAGAGCAAAGGGTAAAGAAAGAAAAATAGATAAACAATGAACACTAAGTTGAAAATCAAAACTAAGATGTTTGTTGCAAGTTTTGTACTGTGACTAATGCATCAGATTGTTGTTTTAATTAATTCATGGGAATTAGGTGTCACTGCCAAGACCAGGATTTATTGCCATTCATAATTTTCCTCAAGGTGGTGGTGGTAAGCTGACTTCACTTTTCACTGTATCTTCCTAGATATATGTGACAGTAGAATCATTCATTCATCTGTTCTTGAACTGCTGCAATCCATGTGATGTGTGATTGAGAAATTATGGAAGGAGCACTTGGATGTTTATAGTTTAACACAGTTTCAAGTTTCCTGATGGAATGTTCAGCATACAATGAAGTATATTCCTTCTTGGGATGAGACTGTTGCTGGCATTTATTGCTCATTCCTAAGTGCACTTGAGAAGGTAGTGGCAATCTACTGAAACTGATTGGCTTGCTAGGCCATTTCTGGGAGCAATTAAGAGCCATACTTCTGTGTGTTTGGAGTCATATGCAAGGTAGAACACACAAGGACAGCATATTTTCTGTTTTAAAGGACATCAGTGAGTTCTTTTAAGCAATCCAGTATGATTATTAACAAGTCTAGAATTCTAGATTGGTTAATGAATAGATTTGAAATCCCCCAGCTGCAATGGTAGAATTTGGACTCATCTCCAAACATTTAACTAGGCCTCTGAATTACCAGGCCGGAAACATTACCACTATGCAATCATTCCCATACTGCCCTATACTGCCATAAAATGTCCTGAGGCACTTCATGGAAATATCAAACAAAATCTAACACCTAGATACATGGAATGATATTAGGACAGATAGCCAAAAGCTTGGCTAAAAAGGTTAGGTTTAAAGGAACATCTTAAAGAAGGAAACAGAGTTACAGAAAGAGACAGGGTTAGGGAGGGGGCTTCATAGTCTAAACCTCTGAAGGTACAGCTGCTATTTATGGAGAAATTAAAATCCTAAAGGCTCAAGAGGCCAGAATTGGAGGAGTGCAGGTACTCTCTGGGCTTTAGGGCTTGCCCAGGTATGTAACAGCTAGACTGTGAAAGGGGTTTGCAAACAAGGATTTGAATTATAAAATAAGGCTCTGCTTAATCAGGAGCAATGCAGATCAATGAGCAGAGAGGTGATGGTGAATAGGACTGCAAATTTGGACATGGGAAGCAGGATTTGGACGACTTTATGTTGATCAAGGGTAAGGGGAAAAACTGGTCAGGAACATACTAAGGCAGTGAAGTCTAAAAAGAACTATGCTGGAGGATGTCAGCAGCAAATGAACTGAAGCAAAGTTGGAGTTAGCAACATCGCTAAAGTGGAAATATGCAATCTTTATGACAGACCAGATATATGGCTGGAGTCCCAATTTACTTCAAAACGTGTTTCTAGTTTGAATTTTCTTTGTTGGTTGTATCTATTGCAATGAGAGTTTATTTGGCAAACTATAAAAGCATGGAATAAATGTCATAGAGAAGTTTGATCTTGCTAGAATGATGATGATGATGCACGTGCTGATCATTCTCCCTCCCAAATAATTTCCCAAATACATTTTATTTCTTGAAAGCGTTAACTATCTCTTGAAAATTTTTGAGAAAAAGAATATTTTAGTCCCTGTTTAACATTTATATCACTATTATGATCATCTGCAAATCCTAGTTCGACATCTCTCAGGAGAATGTTTCAGGTTATACTGCTGTCTCACTCATAAAACTACTGGTGACCGAGTTACGGCTGTTCCTTTGATATTTTGATACTAGAGATTTGAGATTAAAACAGCCAGTGAAATTCAACCACTTGCAATGCCTCTAATGAGACAATATATAGAATGGCTTATGCCACTGTCCCACTGCTGCTGATAGAGTCACTTCTCTCAGTTTCTTCAGTTAACAAAGGAACAGCTAAGTTATTTTTCCTGGAAGGAAATGTATCAGACATGAAACAGCAGAGGATATCCATCTGCATTGTAGCAATGTGCCTGGTGCCTACCCAAATGTCATTACCAAGACTTCTATCAATGTAATTTTCAGTTTATTTTTTGAAAAATATTAATGGTGCAGTCAGAATAATAAAATTACGTACAAGTGAGGTAGCACTTTTGCTTTAGTAATTTTTTAAATATACAAGGGATTTGTCTTCTCTTTCCCCTCCAAAATGCTTTACTTGGAGTACAATCCTTATCCTGAAGTAATAGCAATTAAAATAACCTTTTCAGCTTTATTTTTAACTCAGTTGCTATCATTTGGAATTGCTACACAGTGCACGATTACTTGGAAGCCAAATATCAATGAAGTGTCATCAGCTGTCAGCCTGCAAATGGAACATACTTCAGTTCCTGTGCAATGGCAGCAATCTGCTCCACGCGGTCCTGGTGTGCAGCCAAGTCACTCTCAAATGCCTCATGTTTTCTCAGTAAAGCCCGCATTTCAGTCAAGGAGGCAGATTCGTAATCTTTCTGCATCAAAATATAATCTTTCCCTGGGGAAAGCAAGAATCTCTATTAGTTCAGTAAACCTTTTCCTCACACATTTCAAACTTCTAGTTCAAAAATCCTTTTAAAAAAAAGATCAAAAAGGGTTATTTTAATTTATGATTTTTCTTTTCTTTATGGTACGGTCAGAGTCCTGCCAGCTCTCTGTATCATAGTCAAAACAATCCCATTCCCCTGCTTGATCCTCGTAGTCTTGTAAGTTTACTTCCCCAAGTTGTCAATCTGAATTCCTTATAAAATCATTCGTCAGCTCTGCATACACCATCCTTATAGGCAGCAAGTTTTAGGGTATTACCATTCACACATAAGGAGGTTCGGTTGTCACATTCCTCTTTTCATTCTGTGACATGATAGAAGATAAGGCGGCATGGGATAGGGGGAAGTGTGGCAGATTGGATTCAGAATTGGCTGACCCTTAGAAGACAAAGGGTGGTAGTGGACGGAAAATATTCAACATGGTGCTCAGTTACGAGTGGTGTACCACAAGGATCTGTTCTGGGTCCTCTTCTATTTGTGATTTTTGTAAATGATTTGGATGTAGGAGTGGAACGTTGATTAGTAAGTTTGCGGATGATACGAAGGTGAGTCGAGTTGTGGATATTGCAGAGAGCTATTCTAGGTTACAAAGGGACATTGATAGGATGCAGAGCTGGGCTGAGAAGTGGCAGATGGAGTTTAACCCTGAAAAGTGTGAGGTGATTCATTTTGGTAGGAAAAACTTTGAAAGCAGAATACAGGGTTAACGGAAAGATTCTCGGCAGTGTGGAGGAGCAGAGGGATCTTGGGGTTCATGTCCACAGTTCCCTGAGAGCTGCCACCCAGGTGGATAGAGTTGTTAAGAAGGCGTACCGTGTGTTAGCTTTCATTAATAGAGGGATCGAGTTCAAGAGCCGTGAAGTTATGCTCCAGCTATACTAAAAACCTGGTTCGGCCACATCTGGAGTATTGTGTCCAGTTCTGGTCGCCTCACTACAGGAAAGATGTGGAAGCGTTGGAAAAGGTGCAGAGGAGATTTACCAGGATGTTTCCTGGAATGGAGGGAAGGTCTTACGAGGAAAGGTTGAGAGAGCTAGGGCTTTTCTCTTTAGAACAACGAAGGATGACAGGTGACTTGATAGAGGTGTACAAAATGATCAGAGGTATAGATAGACAGCCAGAGACTTTTTCCTAGGGTGGAGGTAGCTATTACAAGGGGGCATAGTTTTAAAGTGAATGGAGGTAGATATAGGGGAGACGTCAGAGGTAGGTTCTTTACTCAGAGTGTGGTCAGGGCGTGGAATGCATTGAGGAGAGGGTAGTGGAGTCGGCCTCATTAGGGGCTTTTAAGCAGCTATTAGATAGGCATATGGATGATAGTATAAGGTAGGGGTGGAGGTTAGATAGACCTTAGGATTAGGGTAAAAGTTTGGCACAACATCGTGGGCCGAAAGGCCTGTACTGTTCTATGTTCTTGGTCAAAAATCACACGACACCAGGTTATAAGTTCAACAGGTTTATTTGAAGACACAGCTTTTGGAGTATTGCTCCTTCTTCAGGTGTCAGTGAGAAAGGTATCCCATGTCACTAGGAGAACAACTTTTCTTTTGCATTGTCTAAACCAGTGGCTTCCAACCTTTTCAATAACATGGCATACTTCAATGATACAAACAATTTCTCAGCAACCCACTTGTTTCCCCCATCACCTCAATTCTATCCCGTTTGGCCATGTGTGTTTAGAATGTTAGAATCAAAAGACCGATACCGTGCTTTTAAATTGATGATTAAAATTTTCACAAGTTTTGAGTCGTAATTTTGATTGAGTAGAATATTAAGATGAAACAATGTTTGTCTTACATTGATTTTCATTACTTTTGTACAAAATTTCACAGCACACTTGGACAGTTATTATGGCACTGGTCTAAACGTTTCAATCTTGTACACCTCCATCACACCTCCCTTCAGTCTCCTTTGCTGTAAGAGATTTATCATATTGCCTTTTTTTTTTGAAAAAGGCTACTTGTGTTTGTACCACTACTGATTCTTAACAGACCATAAGCTGTCACAGGATAATTTATACACACTCTGGTGTACCTCCTGTTGCATTGGTCCCAGCTGAGTTGCTAGTAGGGACTGGTGTGGGAGTAGCAAGAGGAAGGTTTAATTGAGCTGGGATGGGTTGTATGGGGGAAAACAATTGCAATCGTAGAACAACTGCTAACACGGACAGAAAAGATTATACAATATTTTTGAAGACAACCAGTTCTCTCCTGTTATCAACCAAAAGACTCATTATTGGTTGAGACTATGTGTATGCAAATTAGCTGCTGCATTTCCCCAGCTGCTACTCGTAACTTTCCTGTTTGGATTTTTTCATTTAATGTTGCAGTAGCCATTATAAATGGGCACCTGGAAGCACAGGCAGACTGGAATATGCAAGGGAATGGAGAACAATGTGCTTGAATCAATTTTTTAATAAAGGAATTGCTTATGACTGCAAACCAGGAAACTATCATTTAGTAAAATAAGACTGTAGTTAAAAATTTCTAACATGCATACTCCGCATGGACCAAAAATGCAATGGGAACCAATATAAAACTTGATGATATGGAAATAATGAACAATATACTTTGTCATATTAATGGTGGTGTCTTACCATGTGACCACGCTTCATAAGTTGTAGCTTTCTGTCTGAATTTCTCAGCGAGGTGATCTAATCGCTCCAATCTCCTTATTTCGGTCAGAAGCCATTCTTCATATCCCTTTTCTGCCTGCTCAAGGCGCTGCCAAGCACCTGCAATGTCCTGGATAAAAATGAGAAGAATCAGGTCTTTTTCTAATTTGCTGCATCCTTCTGCATCATAAATCAACTATGACCAGCACAAATACATTCCCAAGTATCCATCAAGACAAACTTGAATGAATCGATGAACACAAGAAACTTCAGAGGCTTCCTGTCCCATCTAGATCTGCCAATCCTTCATGTGAGAAAGGTCAGTTTTTTAACATTAAAATACTATGAGAAATCTCGTATTCCCTATCTCCTCAACCATTATCTTTATCTCTTCAGCATTGCACATACACTTTCAATTGTGATTTCCTGATTTTGTACAGTTTTAAACCTTGAGTAAGTTGGACAAAGGAGAGCCAGTGAATGTCACCGATTGGATTTTCAGAAGGCCTTTGACAAGATGCTGCAAAATGAAACTACTAAATAAGGTGAGCCCATGGTGTGAGGGGCAAGGTACTGGCATGCATAGAGGATTGACTGGCTGGCAGAAGGCAAGAGATGAGATAAAGGGGTCTTTTTCAGGATGGTAGCTGGTAACTAATGGAGTTCTGCAGCCATTAGTGTTGGGACTAGAACTAATCATGATATACATTAATGATCTGGATGAAAGAATTTGGGGCATTGTGGCTAAGTTTGCAGATGATACAAAGATATATGGAGGTAAAGCCAGTGTTGAGGAGGTGGGGAGGCTGCAGGAGGACTCGGACAGGCTAGGACAATGGGCAAAGAAGTGTCAGATGTAATTCAGTGTGGGGAAATGAGAGATTGTGCACTTTGGTCAGAAGAAGAGGCATAAACTATTTTGTAAATGTGGAAGTCAGAGACACAAAGAGACTTAGGAGCCCTGTTTCAGGATTCTCAAGATTAACATGCAGGTTCAGTTGGCAGTTAGGAAGCTAAATGCAATGTTAGCATTCATTTTGAGAGGGTTCGAATACAGGAGCAGAAATGTACAGCTGAGGATGTATAAGGCTCCGGTCACACCACATTTGGAATATTATGAACTGTTTTAGGCCGCATATCTAAGGAAGGATGTGCTTGGAGGGGTCCAGAGAAGGTTTACAAGAATGCTCCCAGGAATGAAGGACCTGTCATATGAGGAGCGGTTGAGGACACGGTGTCTGCACTTTGAGTTTAGAAGTCGGGGGTGGGGGGAGGGAACAGCCTCATTGAAACCTACAGCGAATTGATGAATCCTGGATAGAGTGGGCATGATGATTCTGCTAGTAGGAGAGACAAGGACTCGAGGGCATAGCCTCAGAATGAAAGGACAACCCTTTAAGAACTGAGATGAAGAGGGATTTCTTCAGTCTGAGGTTGGTGCATCTGTGGAACTCATTGCCTGTAGAGCCAGGTCATTGAGTATATTTAAGACAGAGATAGATAGGTTCTTGATTAATAAGGGAACCAAGGGTTATGGGGAGAAGACAGGAGAATGGGGTTGAGACAAAAAAAAAAGCCATGATAAAATGGTGGAGCTGATTTAATAGGCCAAATGGCCTAATTCTGTGTCTATGTCTTTGGTCTTAATGGTAATTCACAGCGAATCAGAAATGACCGTTCCCATAATTTGCACATTAAGGCAATAGTGCAACATCAATAAATTGTAGAGCTTTGGCAACATTGCTTCATAATAAAAAAAAGGCAAGCTGACAGAAAAATGATGAAAAACAAAGGGAGAGGTGAGTGTAATGGATAAATTTAGTTTTCAACTGATGTTTTATATCCAACCAAATGGCTGAACTGATTACAAGATAAGGAAAAAGAAGTGCATTGATCCTGCCTGTTCTAACAGACTAGGTACTATGTCCATCAAGGTGTCATCTACCTTTTTTGGATATGGGAAATATCAGGCTACCGTTCAGTAAATAAATCATGTAGTTAAAGAATTACTCCAATATTATTTTCTTGTACTCCCTTACTAATTCTTGATCAAAGGGAAATTATTTTGTAGAATTTCTGATTCTGAGCCAAATGGAGTAAAGTTAACTTTGGCAATGAACAGTACATTACTTTTTTATTCACTGCACAAATGAAGTCAGCTACCGACAATTTCAGGTTCCAGATTTTCACCAAAACCATTTATCTGTGGTGATATTGTTAACAGTTATCCTCTTGCTCTGAAAACGGGTAGTTTATCTGCAAAGTTAGTTTAACTGCTAACAGTCAGGTTAAAATTCTATAACACCACCTTACTGGAAGCTAAAAATTTAACCATAAGAATTTTAGTAACGTACTGAAACCATTTTTCCCTCAGAGGGCATGAAGGCTGGTCTGTTGCTGATCCTCAGCTTGGTCTGCAAAGTGTTGAAGTTGATTTCCAACTGACACTTCTCCTGGATTTTGGGAGGCTTGTGCAAACGACGGTAGTCCCGAAAATCTTCCAATTTCCGTTGCACGGCTTGCATTGTCTTCTCAGAAGATCGATTTTCCAGCCAGGGAATGGTCCTCTGAATCCATTGCAGCAGCTAGTAGGGACAGAAACACAAGTTTACTAACTAGAATCATCATGCATATTCACTGGAGTTTGTCTAAACTCCTACTTCTGCCCTCACCCACCCCATTTCCAACATCTATGGTTTATTTTCCACTTCCATCAACATATAATGGGAAATCTTTCACTCCATATTCATACACATTTCTGACTCCAATAGCAAATAAAATAAATTATACCTACTGACTTGTAAGCAAGCATGTACAGGTTACTAATTGGAAGTAGGGAAAATATATTAAACATTTTCAACTTAACTATTCAGTCTCCAACCTATGATCTGGAAACTAAAATCATAGAAAATGTGTTTTCTGACATAGGCGAGAGAGGAAAAAAAGCTTAGAATCTATGTACTCACTGATATGCTAAGTTTCTTGGTCACGTGCTTAATAAAGTAAGAAATACACTTTTTATCAATTTCCTGCATGCAAATTTTTATTCAAGCAAAACTGGGCATGGATACAATTTCAACCTTTGTCTTCCAACTAAATTGTTTTGTGAAAGAGCTTTAACATATGGAAGGAAAATAGGCAGAAAGATAAACAGACAGAAAGATAGACAAAAAATGAAAGAAACAAACTTGGATTAACATAGAGCTTGATACAATCTTAAGACTGGTTAAAGTAGTTTACATTTAATTAAGTACTTCTGAAGCACAATCTCTATTGTAAAGCTGAAAAGGTAGATAAGATGATAGTCCAGGAGAATATAATCAACAGTTTTTTGTTCAACATTTAGTATCAAATATTTTACATTACCCATTTTGTCCTTTCATCTTCTAAAACAAGCATACTCTTATCAAAATTGTTCTACACAATTTCCAAATTAATTTTATTCCATCAGATCATTTTTCTTCCTTTCAGAGTTTTCACTAATATATTAAATACAGTAAGGAAAACAAGTTGCGTACTCAGGAAACTTTAACATGAGGGAATATTTTTATATTGTCTTTCTCTAAGTTTCCACAACTCCTGGTTTCCCCAGGCCTTTCCCCTTTTAGCTACTGGTGTTCTAAGTGATTGGATGTGGAAGGTGTAGTGGTAGAGAGGAAGACAGAACCAACAGTCTCGTCTGCCACTGCAGCTCTGACCAGCCACAGGAATGCAGCAAAATAGAGCCAGCTAAAAGTGGTTTCTATTTTTTAAAATATCCTGATTTTGTTGGCTTTCAAAAGTAATGTGGCTCAGATCAGCATCCAATTAGTAACAAGTGTTGTATCAAGCCTTTTCTCTTCAAGTAAAAAAAGATAAAGTTGCCATAGTCTTACCAGACCACAGGGCTTCTCCCTCATTAGACACACACAGCTGGTGATAACCAGAGGTCACCAAACCTCAGGCAAGGGGAGAGGTTGAGAAGGAGAGTCCATCATGTTAGCCTCAGCTGGTGCAGGAATTGAACCTACACTGCTGGCATCATTCTGATTTGCAAACCGGCCATCTAGCCAACTGAGCTACACTAGCCTCCTTCTCATTTCTTCAAGTGTGGTTAAAGCTTTGATTATGACCTTCAAAAATTATTATTCTTCTTCAAAGGGCCAGTTTTAGTAACTAATACTTCAATCCAAACTCTGCTAAATGATAAAGGAAAAGGGAAACATTTCATTTATTAATATCAGTATCTGAGTTTACCTCACTGGCCAGCCTCTCATACTCTCCCATTGACTTTTCATTCTCCTGATTCACTGCCAGTATCTTGCAAATCCTGTTGGCTGCCATCTCAGCCTGTATTCAGAAACAAACCACATCTGAGACAAAAATATACATGCACAAAGCATAACAACAAGGAGTATTCAAGCTCATGAAGGCAATTCAGTATTTGGAAGAGAGCAGCTTTGTTGAACCATTGTGTATTTGTTATGAGAAATGGCAAATCACCAAAAGAATTTCAAAAATGGAGCAAAACCTAATTTTATTGATCATAAGTAAATGTATCCAAATCTTCCACAGATCACATGCAACCAAAAATATTATATTTGAACCATGTTAGAATGTAAAAATGAAAACAACATAAACCAACACAAACATGTTAGTCAATAACTGAAGAGCCCTGGTAATGCTACATTTTCTTAGCAAGTAAATGTTAATATGGCATGTGCGTATACATACATGTCTTTCCAGTATGATTTATGTTTTGATGTTCAAGTTATTTGGTGGCAAGGGTCGTAATTCTCAATCTGATATTTTTCCAACATAGATTTAGAACTTTCACATCATTTTGAAAGATCAAGCATCACTGGAAAAATGGGAACAACTTGCCTCCAACTGGTTCTACATCTTATTTCACTGGCAACTCAAACTGGGAGCAATGGAATGGGGGCGGGGGTTCATGGGAGTCTTGACAAGCTTTGCTTCTGCCTGCTGTCTTTTTCAACATCATTCTTAAGGTGCATCCAGGAGAATTCCGGGTTCCCCAGGTACAACTTCATTATGGCCAGTGTTGTGTGCTCTGCACCACTGTCATTCCCCCTGTGCAATATTTTAGCCACAAGAATAGCATTTCTGGTTTTCTTCCTTTACCGCTCACCCTCCCCCTCATTTTGCCTATCCCCATTCTCATTTCCCCAGGCTTCTTCTCGCCACTTCCCTTTCCTCTATTCCTGTCCCTTTCTTCCTGCTCATCCTTCCTCTTCCTATCAGTAGTGAGCACAGAAAATATTTTGTAAATAATTCATTTTATACCATGAATTAAATATTGCAAAATTGTCATGTGAGTTTAGGTGATGGTGAAATAGATCTGGAAAGTTGAAGTCAATTACTGTAATATCTGATTTAATGCTGAATACCATTTTCCTATGTTCTGGGATGTTGCCTATTAGCATTGTTAAAAACCCTTAATAAATTTGCAAGGATTGAATGTGTACACATTCATTTCTGGCACATTGACTATAGCCTCAGACTAACATTTCAATCTAATACTCCTGCCTCTCTCTCACATAGCTGGCTAATCTCAATGCAGTTATCCCAAGTTCTTTAACCTTGTCTGGAATACTGCACTTTTCCCCGTATCCAATCTCACAGGAGATTGGCCAGTTTATCCAAAATAAAATCAGCAACATAAACTGGAGAAAAACAGCTTACAAGTGTTAAATATACTATACAGCAAACTACTTAGCCTTGCAACAAAGAGATCCTAGTGCAAAGATCTGCAGAAGGATGCAGTTTGGAAGGAAAGATTGATGACGGCAGAGCGGTAGGCATTGCTTACATGGACTTTTCGTAAAGTCTTTGACAAGGTTCCACATGGTAGACTAATTAGTAGAATTAGATCACATGGGATTCAGGGTGAGCTTGCCAATTGGATCCAGAATTGGCTTGATGGTAGGTGAGAGGGTGGTGGTGGACAGTTGTTTTTCGGACTGGAGGCCTGTGACCAGTGATGTTCTACAAGGATTTAGGTATTGGGTCTGCTTTTGTTTGTCATTTATATAATGAATTTGGATAAGAATATAGGAGGCATGGTTAGTAAGTTTGCGATGACACCAAAATCGGTGGTATAGTGAAAAGCGAAGAAAGTTATCTAAGATTACAAAGAGATCTTGATCAACTGGATCAATGGGCTTATTGGTGGCAGATGGACTGAAAGCAAAAAATGCTGGAAATCAGTGGGTCAGGCAACATCCTTGAAGCAAAAGCAAGGTAATGTTTCAAGTCTAGACAACTCTTCATCACAGCCAATGCAGATGGAGTTTAATCTGGATAAATGCAAGGTATTGCATTTTTGTAAAAGAAACAAGGTCAGGACTTGTTCAATTAATGATAAGGCCTTGGATAGTGTTCAGGTACATAATTCTTTGAAATTTGTGTTACAGAGTGGTGAAGGTGGCATTTAGCATGCTTGCCTTCATCGCTCAGACCATCGCGTATAGGAGTTGGGCGTCATTTGGAGGTTGTACAGCACGTTGGTGAGGCCACTTCTGTAGTACTGTATGCAGTTCTGGTTGTCCTGCCTAAGGGAGATATTATTAAATTGGAGAGGGTTCAAAAAAGATTCGCAAAGTCTCTGGGAATGGAGGGTTTAAGTTATAAAAATGGGCTGGATAGGCTGGGACTAATTTCACTGGAGTGTAGGATGCTGAGGGGTGATCTTATAGAGGTTTATAAAATCATGATGTGGAAGTGCCAATGTTAGACTGGAGTGAACAAAGTTAGAAGTCACATGACACCTGATGAAGGGGCTGTGCTCCAAAAGCTTGTGATTTCAAATAAACCTATTGGACAACAACCTGGTGTTGTGTGATCTTTGACTTTGTATAAAATCATGAGGTGCATAGGTAAGGTGAAAAGTAAGGGTCTTTTCCCTCGAGTGTGGGAGTTCAGAACTAGGGGGCTTTTTTAAGGTGAGAGAAGAAAGTTTTATAAAGGACGAGGGCCAACTTTTTGTTTTACACAAAGTGGTTCGTGTGTGGAATGAATTGACAGAAGAAATGGTGGATGCAGGTACAGTTACAACACTTAAAAGACATTTGGACATTTGAACAGGTACTTGGACATTTGAACAGGTACATGAACAGGAAAGGTTTGAAAGGATACAGGCCAAACACAGATAAGTGGAACTAATTTAGTTTGGGAACATGGTCGGCATGGATTAGTTGGACAGAAGGGTCTGTTTCCATTCTGTATGACTCTATTAGATCCACAGTAAACGTACAAAATGGACTACTCTACTGTAGACTCAAATTATACCTATGCAATACCCTCACTACTCCCCCTTTCTTTTCATGACTGCACTAACTCTGTCTCCACCTCTTATTTTGTGTTGCACAGAAACATGTTACTAATGGCGCAGCCACACAGTTGTTCAAACATCAAGATCTGGGCATCAATTTATTGTATAGTTATGAGGTACAATTCACATGCAAACAAACAAGCACTTTGCTGGTACAAAATTAATTGTGGACAACACAACTTTTGGAGTACCTGCTCTGCTCCAGCAAAAGCATGATAGAAACACGAAACGTACGTCATAAGAGCCCTCTGATCAGGTTTGGGTGTATTCACAATATCTAATGAGGAGGGAAAGCACAAGGATAGGGGTGGAATAAACAAGGTGGAAAACAGCAATTCACGTTTGGATAAAGGGCAAAGGATGGTGGGTTTGTAGTTTTGTCCGTTTCCTAATTTTAGCAAATGCATTTCCCCATCTACATTCTTACTGCTTTGCTAAAATTAACAAATGGAGTGAAATATAGCCCTCATTTCATTAGAGGCCTCTTCAGAGGAAATCCCCATTGTTGCACAAAGTGTTTCTTTCAGTCAGAAATCTCTATAATGTTGTAGAAGGTACTGGGAATGTAAGTCCACATATGTGCGTAAATAAATAAACACGCAAACAAATGCTGGTGTTAACCAACCCATCAACAGGTTTTTATGAGACCTCTAATGTTTATTATATCAGAAGGAATAAGATTTCTTTGTTGATCGAGGTAATCACTTAATGTTGACAATAGCAATAGCAATAGCAAAAGAAACTGAAGATACAACCTCACAGCAAATGATAGAAAGGAAATACCAGAAACCAGGATCTAAAGCTACTGTAATAAGAAAAAAGTGATTAAAAAGATAAAAACATAAAAGGTAATATGACCCATTCAGCAGCAGACACAATGGGATATGTAGAAGCTGGAAATCAGAAAGCTGAGGTTTAAAGATCTGGGCTGTCCATAGGTTTTGACCTCACCTTCTGTGCACCTGCAAACATATGGTAGTAACAGGAAACATAAGTCATAACAGCCCTTTCATCAGGTCTTGCTGCATCTACAATGTCTGTTTAGAAAGAAAATTGTTACTTTTTATGAAATGTCAAAATTAACAACAGACTGTAACTTATTCTGGACGAGAAAACCTTGGACAAATCAAACACTACCATTTTTCAGTTGAATAAAATTGCACAATGAACAAAAACAGATACATCACAAGAGATAGTAGGAACTGCTGATGCTGGAGAATCAGATAACAAGGCGTAGAGCTGGATGAACACAGCAGGCCAAGCTGTGTAATAAGTAACAAGTGCACAGTCACAGTGACTCCGAGTTCAAATCCCATGTGCACCAGAGGTGTATTATAACACTTCTGAACTGTGTTGGTGAATACCTACAACAGATCCCTGTCCTTGGTAACACCACTTCTGAATAGCAAGTTAAGAAAAGTCTGTTTCAATTTCAAACTAGAAACAAGCGCAGAAATTAACCAGAATGGAGAATGAATGAACTTTTATACACAAGCAGCACAATTTGTAGTTTTCTCAATGGCGGCAATTAGAAGCAGTCTTACTCAGCCAGATTTTCTGAAGAAGGGTCAAGACCCAAAACGTCAGCTTTCCTGCTCCTCTGATGCTGCTTGGCCTGCTGTGTTCATCCAACTCTACAGCTGGTTATGTCAGATACTTCACAATGCTGCATTGTGCTTGGCTCAATGCCAACTGCCGAGGTTGTACACACCATTGAGGACGACAACTCTACAGTGCAGGACAAGCCGTTAATAGGATACTCGCATTGGTTTGTCTACCATCTCAGCTAAGTGTATCAGCAAAACAGCAGCTCTCCAACAAACAATGTGTTATCCATCTGAAAAGACACATCAGGACTGCATAACACAGGATCAACCATCAGCTTTTGGACAATGTTTTGAGGCAAGGGACATGATTGCAATAAAGAGCAAAAATAGCTTGGGTCCATTTTTTTTTTGGAGCAGTCCCTTTTATTTTGAATATTCCAGCACTTGGAGTTGGCAAGACAAAAGAAACACTCCAAGGATTTTCAGAGCCAGTGCTTTTTCAAACGTCTCAGATGTATCATTGTAGACAGCAGTCCAGAAAGAGAGAAGGGAAATAATGGGTAAATGGAAACAGAAGTCGGGTCCTAAAAGCCTGTTACATCATTCAAAAAAAAAAATTATTGATCTCAGTTTTGAAATTTCTATTTGACCTATCCTTAACAGCTTTTTGTTGGAAGAGAAATCCAGATTTTCACTTCTCTACGTCAGGCAAGGGCATGGACTGAAATCATGGGCTCTGGGATCTGCTACTGGCCTGGGGCCCAGCTCTGTACTCCCAACACGAGCACGGTTGCTCTCCTTACAGCCATAGTTATTGGGACCTGATGTACCCCCCCTGTCCTGGGTCTTAGTGTCACTAAATATTTCTTGACGTACACCTCAAAGGGCTTAGTCCTAATTCTAAAGTTGTACCCATCTTCTTCACGATTCCATTTCCAGGTAAAATGGTTTCTCTCAATCAACTGGCAGCAGCCCTAAGACAAAGCCAGGGAGGGGAGGAGGATTAGCAGCTGGGAATTACAAGCTTTGGTGAAGAAGCTGACTGCAAATACTATGGGGTGAAGAGAACACACTGCCCCTCTGGGCTCCACGCCAATATTTTCAGAAATTATTTTTCCTGTACCTGCTCCACTTATTGCTAACCAATTTCCCAAAAAGAGAAAATGGGCACAATAAGGTCCAATTTCTTATCCAGTGTTTATATTTTCATTTGAAATTCTTCTTGTAATCAGAAAACTGAAAACTTCCACACTGAGGTACGCCTTACCTTCTGCATCCAGCATCTTGGGGATATCCAGTTCTTTTTCTGCAATGTCCAAAGCAAGATTCAAGTTGTAAAGGGCATCATCCTATAGGTAGGAAACAATGAGTTTGACAGCAAATTAAAGTATCTATATTCAGTCATGTATCTCTAATTAATTTTGTTACTTGAATAGCAAATAGAAAAACAATGTAGTTGTGGCCATGTGCAACATTAACAAATCAAAACTGTGGTTTTGGTTAGCAGCCACTAAAGTAACACTTGACATAAGTAACAAGTGCACAGTCACAGTGGCTCTGAGTTCAAATCCCATGTGCACCAGAGGTGTATTATAACACTTCTGAACTGCATTGGTGAATACCTACAACAGATCCCTATCCTTGGTAACACCACTTCTGAATAGCAAGTTAACAAAAGTCTGTTTCAATCGCAAACTAGAAACAAGCACAGAAATTAACCAGAATGGAGAATGAATGAACTTTTATACACAAGCAGCACAATTTGTAATTTTCTCAATGGCGGCATTAGAAGCAGTCTTACTCAGCCAATTATAAAATACCATACTGGAAAGCAAAATGGAAGCAATGACGTATTTGTGGGATTGGTTGTTACGTATGTCCAGTTGATTGCCATCTTCACATACATCATATATGTCAAATAGAAGATGTAAGGTAATTTGTTCCTCTTCACTTCAACGGAAATTTAAAGCAGAAGAGGCAAAACAGAAACATGATTTATAGTGACCAATTTTACAACGGGGCACATTGTAAATTACCAAGAATGAGGTAGCTTTTAACAATGTTCAATTTTATATCAAGACGCAATGTTGAAATCTAACTTATTCTTAGATTATTTTTCAATCTGCAAAATGAAAGTTTTTTTTTTTTAAAATGATAAGGCAGGTGTATGTTAATACCTCTTGTAGCATATCATAATCAATTAGATCAGTTCTCTGTCTGTGTATGAGGGCATTAAATGCTCATCCGTTCTTCCAGCAACATGCATAGGCAACGCCAAACCAGCCACAATGGGGCAACAAGACAGATCAGAATGCATGCAGTGAGAGAACAGAAATGTCTGATACAATGAAAATGATTAAAGACAAACAATCAATTTGCAACACGATACAGAAAAAGACAGGAGAGGAGTCAGTTGGAATTTTTTTTTCTTAATTACAACATTAATAATGGTCTTTCAACTTATAATCAATACATTGTACAGGCAAGTAGCTTGTAATTTATTCACAAAGAAGCTGGTGATGATTTTACCAGGCTTCATGCATCAATAACCTTACAAACACAGGCTTTGGTCATCATGGGCGCAAAATGCCCATTGTTGGTGGAACAGTGATGTATTAGAATTCCCAACCGTAAATCCAGTTGAATGTAGACTCTATTCCAAATTGTACTGACTGTATGGTTAGGGTGTGCACTTGATGGTTGCAAATATGTGTCAGTGTCCTCACCCAGACCTTTTAAGATCCAGGAGGGCCTGACTGCTCCATTTGATACACCCTCAAGCTTTACAAAAAAGTAGCAATTTTGATTCTAGACAGAAGATGTTTGGTCCTTTCTGATTGTGAATTATACAGAGACCTTCTGAGGCAGAAGATGTAATTTCAAATGTAACTTTGAAACTCTTCATCAAATGGTCTTCTAAGCAGCAGGACATCCACAGAAAGTGCCTCTTGTTGGAAAAGGTTCGAGCTAAAAGCAGTTCAGATTCAAGAGTAAAATAGCTCTGCCTCTTGATGATAATAAATTCAAGCCAATCCGCTCCTTACCAGTGAAAAGGCCAATATACTCAAGCAGCACAGAGCAACTTTGCACATGGAATTCCTTTGTCTGGATTCAGTTTCCCTGTGAGTTCCTATGTGAGTTCTCAAAGTGGACAGTGTTCAGAGATGCACACACCATAAAAGTGTTAAACTCCAACTTCCTGCTGTGAACCCATACTAATTTACTAGATCTGAGGAAGGGTCATTGGACCTGACACGTTAACACTGATTTTTCTTCACAGATGCTGCCTGGCATGCTGAGCTTTTCCAACAGCTTCTGTTTTGGTTCCTAATTTACTAGTATTTGACAGTTCTGAAGTAGAAGGATGAAAATAAAAACACGGCTAAATGTTACAGATTATAAATTTCTATTAGTCCATTTTATGAAATTATAGAAAAGGAAATGGAACCCGAGAAGGCTGGAAATACAAAACAGAAACAGAAAATGCTGGGAATATGCTAAAAAGGTCTCCTAACACCTACAATATGTTTCGAATGTAACCTTTTGTCAGAAATAACATTTTTCCAAACTTATCCCTAAGGATGCTATGCATTTCTAGTATTTTTGATTGTGCATGTAATTATAATTCAGATTTTACTTTGAGTTCATTTATCTGTTATACTGAGACACCCACAGTTAGCCCACCCAAACACACTACCAACTGATTGCAAAGAATATTAACTGCAACCTGCACCATTGGCTTTGTCATATTATGCAGAAATAAATAGGAAGGGGAAAATCACAAACATTCAGGAACCAACAGACCACTGATAAATGGAAAATTCTGCAGAAGCGACAGTATTTGTTGTTTGTTGTCACATTACAAGTGGTTTAATCACCAAACTAGTTGATTTATGCAGTGGAAGTGGAACACAAAATTAAGTAGACATATATAATTTCAAGGCATGCAAAAATGCTAAAACATTTAAGACTTATTTTGAAGAATCTTTGGAAATCAGAGTGAGCTGACTACATGCA